CACGGAATAGAAACATATTTTGTGGTCCTGACGTAGTTGTAGTTCAATTGATTGAGGGTGTAACGATTAATACTTTATCAACTGAATAAGATTATTCCCAATCAGCATTTTCTTCGTCTCTTTTTCAGAATTTCTAATAGAAATAATGATGTTATTTTTAGAGAATGAAAAGCGATTGACACTATTCTTACGATATAGTTGAATGAGTAGTTGTTGTTGTTTCCCATGGATTGGACACGATCACACGAGACTAAAACGATGGAAAAGAACACAAGAGAGATCAAATAAATTTGCTCTTTGTAACAAATTACACGAATAACTTGTGTAAGATTGGATTTTGTAAGTGATTTTGTCACCATCGTCACACTTTTTCATTAGAAATTTGATTAATAATCACATAAATGTAATCATGAATGAATACAGAAAAATATAGATTTCCAAACATGTTTCTGAGGACAATTTTAGCAAAACTGTAACATCAATATTCGCTGCATGTTGTTATACATAGACGACTCTTTTATACAATTCTACTCTGATGTTCTTTGTCAATTTGATGTGTGAAAAGCCTTTCAACAGTAATCGCAAGATATTCTTAGGAGAAGCTTTGTCTGTAGTTTTGATCCATATTTAACAACATACCACGCAAATCTATATTACATATCAATCTCAATCATAATCGACTGTATTTTAATCATTTAAACTGTGAAAGAGAATCCTTCTCATTAAGACTAAAAAGAACATTTATATCGTAGAAACTCTTTTCCCTCTATTAAATTGCAAAACTTATGAATTCTTCGTTGTGCAAACTACTAAAGAGCATCAACTGTTCTCACATAAACAGGAAGTGATGCTTTTCCCGTTGACATTACACTTAATAGACTGAATAGGTTATAGTTCAACACACACAATATACTTAGACCATTGATACACAGAGAGATTAAAAAATATCGAACATGATTTAACTTTTATCGTTTTTTTTTGCCAGAGGTATTATGAATTTTGTAAACCTTTATCTACGCACAATGATTGGGTGTAATATAGTTATGTGTGCGAGTAATGCATTCAAAGAACGAATATAAAAATAGATGAATGTATAGATATAAACGACGATATATTCATTTTTCTTATAAAGAGAAATTCCATTCTCATATTGCTCATCATCTCGGTTCATTAGTTTGATTGGGTGCAAATGATGAACAATAGAAAGATATTTATGAGAATACAATGTGTCATTATGCTGATAAACAGAAATCTTCCCGACACGATATCACAAGAGATAATTCGAATGATTCATTAGATGATACACGATTCTGTTCAGCATATCGACATTTCTTCTCGATATGATACAAAAGGATCATCTCTCTCTCTCTCTGTGATTTACTTCATCCAATTATTCACATAAGTTATGCTATTGAATTGAATAGTCGTGTAGTTCCATGTGTGAGAAGCCTTAACAATAACAACTGTTTGTACACCGCGATCTTTTGATAAAATCCCTGCTGATTTAAAAGCGCCAATGAACGGAACAAAAGGAGCTCTTCAAGTTGTAAAAGAAACTCGTAAAGATGATAATGTACCACATTTGTAAGAACCACTTCAACTCGATTTAATATTTTCCCAACAATCAGTTCTTCTCACTTATTATAATCAATGGAATATGTCGAATGATCTTGATAAAGCCATCCAAGAATTATTCGATATGTCTGCGTATATATTTATGGCGCCACACATAAACCTGATCAAGTTGATTTTGATTTGATTTTTGTAAATTTTGTAATTGCAATGGACGCAATACGAAAACTTCGACGTTATTTGTACGATGACACAGCGAGAAAAGTTATATGTCATTTCTTTTATTTAATACTCAGTGATTATATTTCACAACGACAACCGGAAATTGATCCAAATCTCATCGATAATTATCAAGAACATAAAACACAAAACTGGCAACTGAAGTTCAGGTCGCCAAGATGATTCATACTTTACAAGATGCAGAAAAAAATTATGGATCAAAAGATGGATTTTATTTAAAATCTGCTCTGAAAACTGTTGATCATTTGAGTTTAAACAAACCATAAATTAGAATGTTTGATGCGAATAGACAACTAAATATCAAATATTATGATCGAACGGACTCAAAAACAATTTTCATCATCTATTGATTTTGTATTTTATAGAGCACGGAAACCATTGATCATTGTAGAAGAATTTTATACATAAACAAACGATGTTCTTTNCATAATATCCAGGAAAATATGGTATTGAATATTGAATACATTTCGATGATATAGCACAATCACATCCATTATACATTTGTGATGTCATATAAAGTTTTTTATCTAAAGTTGAATTAAAAAGAAAAAGATTCCAATTAGTTGAATAAACTGAAACAAGACTATTTCCTTGTGAAAGATCACGAAACATATTAAGATTATGAATAAAATCATTTGATAATGTTAATTGAAAATCTTTAAATGTTGAATTTGTAGATAAATAAAATATTGTTGGATTAAGCATTTGATCTGATACAACATATGTTGTAAGAAAAAGATTTTGAGCATCAGCAACAGCCTGTTTTGTTAAATTACAAAGAATTGCTAAAGATTGAAAATATCTATATGCTGTACCACGAAAAGTAAATGCATTTATTGGTAATCGTACTAAATTTCTATAAATAGTAAATAATGAATATGTCCATCGATAACTAATAAAATCACTTGAACATATATCATGAAATATTGGTTTTATATCATAAAATGTTGAACGAATCGTTGATAATTTAGTACATGGACAATTAATTGATATATCTTTATGTTTATCTTGAAATTCAATATAATTATAATATAATGAAGAAATATTTTCTGTTATTTGTTTATTACGATATATAAATGATGTATAAGTCATAAGAATTATTATAATAAATATAAGAAGAATAAGATATAAACGTGTTGATTGTTGTTTTATATAAATTTCATTTTCATTTAATGATGGATTTTCTTCATCTTCAAAAAAATTCAAAGTTTTTATTTTAATCCATATATCCATTCCAAATTTCATTGCACGATTTCGCACAGAAATATGTTCTTCTAAATGATCCAATATGACTATTTTTAGAATTAATTATAATATTTAACAAAAACAAACTAAACTATTTCTTTTAGATAAATTAATCTCATCTATAAGATCTAACATTGTGAAAGAGATGTACATGGCGGTTGTGATGGCAACACATCTTCAACCACAATGAACATCTCTGTTTTAGAAATGATTATGAATTCAATTCATCTCACATTATTTAAATCATATGAATATTTACTTTGATTAGTATTAATGTTTCTTGGTAAATATGTTTGTCGATAACGTCGAATAAGATTGAAAACAATTGAAATAAGATATGGCGATAAAATTTTCAATATTTTAGATAAACCTCCAATAAGACCAGTAATAACTGTAATTATTTCTAGTAAACTTCTTCGTTGAACCATTATATATGTACAATAAATTGGTTGACATTTATTAAAATATGACGAATAAGATATTGTCGTTGACCATGATTCAATAAATATGTTTTCAACAAGTTTTTCAATTGTAACATTAATTGGAAAATGACTAAACAATGAGAAATTTAATCGAGTCCAATTTTTACTAATTACATTTTGTGAAATATTATTTATAATATCAAAACATCGATTATTATCATAAAAACATTCTAATGTTGATGCTAATAATGATTCAATAGGAAAACATTTAACATAAAAATTTGGAACAATATATGGATTAGTATTTCCTATATTAGTCTGATTGTATTGTGTGATAAAAGTATTACTTTTACAGATCGTATCAAATGCACATGAACATCTATATGAACCATCTGATGCTAATGAATTCAAACCATTAATTCTCAATATCGGTTTAATCATTGCTGATTCATGATCTTCATAATAAGTTATAAGAAAATTCGTAAATTGAGCTGTTAGAAATTGATTTATAAAAGTAATGTTACGTAATAATTGATTTAAACGTAAGAAATTGTTTGGTAATGTAAATTGAAATTGTTCAATAGCAGAATTTATTTGATTAGTAAATGAATCTATTTGAAGAAGTTCATTTGTAATTAATTGAGTTTGTCCGAATTGTAAAATTGCATTATTTATTGTTTCATTTGATAATAAACATAATGAACTTAACAAACGAAATAAAAAAGTACCAGTAAAACAAAAATCATTGTAAGTAATATATCCATAAAATTCCATAATATTCTTTAAATATTCAATCCATTCAGATGTAACAAATACACTTGAACATATTTGATGATATATTGGTTTTAATTCAACTAAATATTTATAATTTACTGATAAATCTTGACATGGACATGTAAGTGAATATCCAGTCTTTTCTAATTCTTGAACAACATCTAATGATGGATTATCTTTTTGAATAATTTGTGTTTTCATATTAATACTTGAATATAAAGTTAAAATTATTAGAGCAAATAAAAGAAATCCAATATAAATACGAGTTGACCATATTTGTTGTTTTATATCATTTGATGTGATTCGTAATGATGATCGATATAGATTTATATTGATACATCTATGACAAATATATTCAAACCATTGATAAAAAGATTTATCTAAATAAAAAAAAGAAGAATTGATATTAACGTATGTAAATACTTACTCGCATTGGTTACTTCATTTGTTTTTACGATTGATTGTTGTTTTGGTTTTTTTAGAAGAAATCGAGTAATATAAGGAATAATGAAATGAAGAACGGTTGATAAACCACCATAAAATCCAAGAAGAGAAGTTATTATATAGATAAGTTTGGGTCGATTATTGATAACATATTCACAAAGTTTTGGTCGACATTGAGAAAAATATGATGAATATTTGAATGATTTTGACCAATCCTCAATAAATAATTGCTTGACAAGAAATTCAATCGTATCATTTGGACTAAAATGACTTTTAATTGATACATTAAGTGCTTGAAAATGATTGATTAATATTGATGAATTAAAATTATATACTATTGTATTAAACATTATTTGATTATAAAAACTTTGAAGAGTTGAAGATAACAAAGATTCTAATGGCCAACAGCCAACTTTCCAACCGTCGATATATGTTCGTACATATACTTTTGTTACATTTAATTGATTATTAATATCAGATGAATTCAGATTATAAAAAGCACCACGTTGATGACATTTAATATCGTTAATACAATTACATGTTTCAGAAGCAGAATCACCATAAATATAATAAAGTAATGTAACGCTAGAATATCAATTCAATTTCATAATAAATTTAGGAATTTTTATATATATAGAAAATTTGAAAAGTTGAGAAATAAAATTAAAAGTAAAAGTAGTTTTGTTTTATAAAAATCAAAATAATTAACAAATTCATTTTCCAAATGAAATATCTTTAATAGACATATTATCTGGACAAAAATTCAATTTCTTTTTCTCTATTTATCATAATTATATTCAAACATACTTATGTGAAAATGATTAATTATCAATTCTTGATAGAAGAGAAAAAAGTATTGATTACTTTTAATAGATCTAACACATACATTTTTATCAAAATAAAGAAATCTATCAGTCATAAAGACAAATAATTTGTTGATTCTAGATATAGGAAATAACATTTTTTGTTATATTTAGATCGAATTATGTTCTGTTTGTCAAGAAGTCAATAATGATTTGTTAAATAAAACTTACCTGTAAGGCGAATTTATATCAATAAATGATACATGTAAAAAATACGATGTTGAAAGAGAATTGAGAAGATTATTTCCAGGCATAAATGAACGCATAAATGAAAGAGAACGAAAAAAAGTTGATGTTGTAATTATTTGAAATATTGAAATATCAGCTTCAACTTGTGCATTAAATAAATCTTGATTTAATAATTTATCTGATATTAATTGACTTTGATATAATGTTTCAAGACTATTATTTATTGCATTAAAAGATAAGTTACATAATGATTGTAAAATTTGAAAATGAGTAAAAGCAATTGCACGAAGATCACCTACTCGTTCGAATGTTGTTGTTCTTCTATCATATAAAAATTGAATCCATTCATCAGATACTAAATCACTTGAACAAACTTGATGATATGTTGGTGAAAGTGTAAGAAATGTTCGATATGTTATCGCTATATCTGTACAAGGACATTTTATATTTCCATATTTTTCATATAAATCAGTATATGTTGTTAATGAAGGATTATCGATTGTAATTTGTATTGAATCTATTTGTAATATTGTATAAACAAAAAGAATCAACATAGCTATGAATAATAGAATAATGTATAAACGTGTTGACCATCGTTGAATACGTAATTCATATTCATCAGTAACATTTCGTTTGAAAAAATTTAATTCAATAAAAAACCGTCCAAGACGAGCAAACATTACTCTCACGGAAAATAATTTTAATTCAAATGAACACTTCTTTTTTTTTTTCAGATAGAAATATTTTATGAGAAATAATAATTATGACAAGGAAATAATAATTTATTTTACTAAATGATGCATTTTTCCCTCGACTGAAGGGAGAGTCCTATGAAAAAATAGTTTGAGTGTGTATTTCTCTATGGCACGGTCACGATCAAGATTTATCGAAATGCTCAATAGTCAAAGATATGTCGTCCGGGAAGGGTCTTAAGGGTAGATGTTGATAGGCGATGAGAGACCAGGTCAAAGGTCAAAAAAAGCTTTTTACAAAAATTTTGAAAAATTGAAAAACGCCACTCTGAGTAGGTTCACGAGCCGAAAAAGATTGTCTATAGTGCGGTTAGGAGTCAATATAAAGCAAACACTTGTTCATGTCAGAAAATTTTAGCCTTGAAGAACTTAATGGTATTATACGCAGATATCCTCGGTAGGGGTGGACCATTTCCGTTAATTTGAAATTAACGTAAACAGTAACCCGTTAAACGTTAATATTAACGTTAACGGTTGATATTAACGTTAATATTAA